ATTTAAACACTTTGAGCCCCAATGTCCTCACCTGCAAGATAAGGATAATACTTCCCTTCTTCAAAGAAAAGTCCATGTGATTAAACAAGACACTGCATTTTCAAGCAGCTGCCACTTCGCTTTCACTATAAGATGACTTTTCTAGTGTTGCATGGCAAATAGTAAGCTCCAAATACATGTGGGGAAGTTTAAATGTTGTTTAGTCTTCAAACCTCACTGGAGAGCCTGTAGAGAAAGTAATTTTTATGGGACGTGACTGTTACTATATATGTTATTGTACATGAAAGTTGGTTGTTCTGCTGAAAACCATGAAAATGTGGAGGATGTGTTTTTTATGAGAATACGCTTCAGGTGAAACCAGGAATGGATTGCTTGCACATCTATTACAGGTGTACCAGCCTCGGCCCACCCTTAGCCTCCTGCTAACAGTACCAGTTCCTCTGGGCAGATGCTCACCCACTTGAAAGGGAAGTAAAGAATAGCCTGAGCCAATTTACCAGAAATCTTTGCACACCAGGATTTTCTTCTGAAGTAATAAATTTTGTTTTATAACTATACATTAATTTTGAATGCAGCTTAGCAAGTAACGACCAAACTTAAACCTAGTCTTGTACAGAAACTTTCATTATTTCCATGATAAAGTCGCTGAAAAATGATGATTATAAATAATAACATTCAATAATATTTATGTCCTATAAAAAATCACTTTTGCTACCTGCTTTCCAGTGGATTTTGAATATCAAACAAGATTTGAATTCTACCATATTTATTTAGAGCTTACAAGGCCGCACAGAAACTAGAAGAGGTAAATGCCTTGTTACCACACTTGCATTTCATCAATGCCTTATTAGATTCAGAGACGGAAGAGCAGAAGCCAAAGCTGTGTCCGTGAACATTTTTCTTAGCTTCCCTATCCATCTAGTACAGTAGGGTATCTGCGTAACTGTAGTACTAGTTTTTCTACTCCTGTCAACAGAACAGATCATTAGAGACTAAAAGGAAAGAATATAATAAATTCTGATTTCCATCAAATTTTCAGCAATAGAAGCCATATCAGAGATGATTCTTTCAAAAATATATATTATTATTACTACTATTAAAATCAATCAGTTGTGCTAAATCTAACCACCCGAGGCTACATTTGTGATTAACCCCAGATCAACAAACATCAGTATAAAGAACTATGCTGTCTCAATTCCTCAGATGAAAATAAATGGAAGACTGTTCAATTAAAATAATGAATAATACTGACTGATCTCAGCTCTGTGATTTTAATTAGTACTCTCTGCTGATAATGAAAAGTTGAGATGCCAGTACTTTGGGAGGCCAAGGCAGGCGGATCACTTGAGGTCAGGAGCTTGCGACCAGCTTGGCAAACATGTTGAAACCCCATCTCTACTAAAAATACAAAAATCAGCTAGGCGTGGTGGCAGGTGCCTGTAATCCTCGTTACTTGGGATGCTGAGACAGGAGAATCGCTTGAACCCAGGAGGCAGATATTGCAGTGACCCAGGAGGCAGAGATTGCAGTGACCTGAGATCCTGCCACTGCACTTCAGTCTGGGCAATAAAGCAAGACTGTCTCAAAAAACAAACAAACAAAAAAAAGTTGAGATGAGACTTGATTCCTGAGAACTGGAGTTCAGACACAGAATCCACACTTTGGCTTTTACCTGTAAAGTTCGAGGTCCTTTCAGACTAATTATATCTTAATGTTAATGTTCATGGATATTTTTAAAATATTTTTTCTTGCTTTTAAACAAGTGGCAGAACACTTTCTAATTGGAAATTCATCTTCTTGTTTTCACCCGTATTTAGGCAGGTTTTAATTTGTCTATAAACACTTTAAAGTTGATAATCTTTCTACTCTTTTTTTCTATTAAATGATTTTAGGTATTTCTTTTCATTATAAATAAAATTTGATTTTTATAGCTTAAAGTTAAGCTGAACAATTTTCTCTTATTTTAATATCTATAATTGTTTTGCCTTTTGTAATATAAAATGTGAACCATCTTCCCAGAAGATTTTTGAACACTTATTCTAAGTAAAGAGTTTGGGGAAAGTAACAATATATTATCTAATATTGAGAAAAGAATAGGACAACATACTGAACAGCATACTGAATACTGTTAGCATACACTGTGTCTGAGAGTTATCTGACTGTAATCTATATATCTATATTTATTCACATCAAAAGGAAACATTTCACCATACTTGAAATTTAAAATGTAATTGAAAACTGAGAAAGGGATCATTTGCCTTCAAAGGTATTTTATTAACTATACCGCTTAATACTGTATTACATACTATGTCATTTCTTCTTGCAGAATTTAAATGTGTCATATTAGCAAAGGCAGAGAATGATTAACTTTTATTACTTATCACGATGATCTATTAACTATATACTAACCACCCCACTGTGACTGTCATCCAAGGTTTTTAACATACTTAGATTAATCAAGGGATTCATTTGTTTGGCTTGTGCTTGGCAACCACTAGAATAATTTCCCCTGATGTGGTGTCTTTGTTTCAAAACAATGGAGATATTTAATCTTGGCCATGTTTTCAAATAAAATTGATTTTTTATTCATGCTCTGTGCAATTTCATAAGACATTTTTGATTCTCACTTTTTTCTTTAAGACTTGTGGGCGTACATGTGAAAAGTAAGGTTTTTCTTGTTCTACGGTCTCATCCTTCATGAAACAAACATTTGAAAAGTCCAAACTGTCACAACTCCAAACAGATGGGAGTACAACTGTGACTAATAGGTGTTCCTCTGAGAATTCATCATTATCTGATCTTAATAAGAAAGTAGTGTTTTAGAAAAAGGGCTAAAGAGTAAAATGTTAAAGAGTAATTTTTAAAAGTTAACAGTTAAAGTGAGGTCTAAGGTTTTATCCTCAGCAGGAAGTATTCAGTTGACCAAAACCTTAGTAAGCACCTTTGCCTTCCCCTCCTCCCACCTTCTCCACCTCTGCCTGCCCCCCTACCTGGACAAGAAGGTCCCCAGGACTTTTGAGGACTCAGGGACTTTGATTGATGAGGTATATGGGAACTTTGCCTGTCTCTTCTACACTGAGCCACGGGTCTCTTTGGCAGCTATGTGCTTTAGGTTCCTTTAACAGGAGGAATTGTGTTTAACAGTTAATTTTCCATGTTTAAAAATTATTATTTCTTCCTCATTTATGCCTTATTAAAATTGGAAAATTGTACAATGGCTGCAAATTTCAATGAGAGAATTGTACTGGAAGCCAATGATAATTAAATATATGCATGGAGAGACAGTAGAAACAAGCTAAAGGGGAAGACAGAAAGAGAGAAAGAAAAATAGGCACAGAGGGAGATCAATAAAAAAGAGAGGGACAGAAATGGGCAGAGAGAGAGACAGAGAAAGAGAGTGACAGGAAAAGAGACAGAGGCAGGGCTCCCCACAGAGAAGACAGCAACAGAGGCACACAGAAAGAGAGACAGAGTGAAAAGGAAAGAAGAAAATGAAAAGGCATCTTTTTTCTCTTTGAGACTTTAAACATTTATTAAAACGCTGATATAAAAAATAGACTACAAAAGTTGAGAAGACCATCTCTGAAAATAGTTTGTTAACGTTGATCCATTCCACAAATATTTACTGCTTGCTCATTGGGTTAAGGCCTGATTCAGGCCTTCCACTGTGGGGACAGTTCTGTGCACGCTGTACCACTGGAAAGGACACTCTGGGAGTCTGCCACAGGGCATTGACCGAGATTCCTAACAAGAGTGAAGTTTTCAGCATTGCACAGCAGGGAGTTTGTGGTTAAGCCAGAAGGCAAATGTTACCAGATTCACAAAATATCGGCACTGCACCTGTAGGCATCTAGTCTACCTTTGTCCACTGCTGGCTTTTAAAATTAACCTCTCTTGCAGGATAATGTAACTGCTCACACTTAAATTATTCCTAGGTAAGTTTATTTTCTAATCTCCTTTAGAAAATTTGACTATTTAAATAAAACAGTCCAGTAACTTTATATTCAGAAATATATTCTTTTAGAATGTTTTATGTTCCTCATCGACGTGATTCTAAAGCACCATGAAGAACACAGTGAAAAATGTTCCCTGCAGAGGAACACACTAAATGGATGCTTGCTCTGCTCATTGCTTAAGCAAGATTGTTCAACTCTGTAATATCCCAAGAGGGAAAGCATAATTATTCATATAAGTACTTACATTTAGTTATTATTTATAGGATTTTTAGAAGTAATAAAGCAAATAGGATAACATTCACATCGTTAAATGTGTCATTTCCAAAGTTTATTTTAACTGATGTGCACAAAGGGGCCAACTGATAAAAGCGCTAAAATAAAAATTTTAAAGGAAAAGCATGCATTATTACATTTACAAGTTCTATCTAACTTGTCGCCTGGAACACAGAAAATTGTATCCTAATTGTTAATATTACTGAGCTTATGATCAATTAGATATGTCTTTTTAATATGAGAACTTTATGCATTTAAAAAAGGAATTAAGTTACAGCCAACTCTGGTAAGGAAGCGAAATGAAAGTAAAGGCAAAAGACATTATGTTACTCACCATGTTCTATCCTGAAAGTCCCTCTCAGATGTAGGTAAGTGTACTACAAGGTCTAATATGAAGATCTGTCTTTAAGACTCTTTGAATCAAACAGTAACTAAGTGGTTTAAGTAGAAACATGTATTTTGAAAGGTTAATCCACCCATACACAGGGAAACCCCTTTTTTAAGAAAGTCATTCTGCTGCCAAGAGACTATTAATATTCACCTCTAAGATACAAATACAACCTACAGATAAAAGATTCACAACCTATGTGAAAATACCGCAGAGGATTCCCTCTTAGTCTCTATGTTGTAATGGAAACACAAGAAAACAATATACCTCTTCAGGCAATCGGGAGTACTACAGGAAATCTACCTGCCCACTTAATGGAAAAGTCATATCAGCTTAATAGGGCCACAACACATAAACATAAATTTAGAATTAGTATAACTTACTGTAAGGACCACATAGGTCACACACTCATTTCTAGGAATGTTCCTGTGTTTCATCTTCCTATTTCTTTCCCTGAGAGAGCTAGCACCCAGGTTAACATTTAAACAGTCACCCTTTAAAGTAATTTAGAAATAAGTTCATTACCTTTTAAAAATAGGACTTGCTGAGTGTTTTCTTACTTAGAGGGAAAATTATATTTAGAGTCTCTATCTTCCTTCACTGGCACTATACCATTAGGAATGATGTGTATTTTTCTTATCATACCAGAAAACAGTCTGCACAATCATTAGTAGTGGCAAACCTCTTCAAAATGATAAAGAAACTTGTACCAGTTTGGAAATAAAATGTTTGCTAATGAAGTGCCTCCTAGTGATTATTATTGATTAGTTATACCATTTTCTTATATTGAAGCATTCATTTTTCAGATAGGCATGCAAGATTAAGAAAATGGCAGAGTATACTGGCAATATGCTGGAGGAGACATTGTTTCAAAGTTTGATTGTTTAGCTCTCATCACAGCAGGAATTTGACCTCCGAAAAACAGACGGACAATGATGATCCCCTTCTAGACTTCCACTTCTACAAACATGCTTTGGAAAGTCAGCAAATCACAAAGGGAGCCTCAACATTATCTTTTTTATTACAAAACACTGTAAATATCAATCCTGGTTGGTAAAGCCATAAGTGTTTCCTATATTTTTCTTTACTGTATTTTCTTTTTCTGTACAGTATTTTATGTTTCTGTATTTTCAAATATTTTAAAAAATAGTCTATTATACAATGTAGTTTGCATATACATTCACCTAAAAAAGAAAATTAAAACAGAACTTAGGACGTAAACAGTCCATCCTTAACCTGAGTTATTAAATTAAATACATTTGCTATGAAAATTCCCTTGTTTCAAGGTCCCCTAAAGTATTTGAATGTCTTTTAAAAAGCCTTTTGAATGAACACAAAATGACATTTACCCTGTTAGTTTCTTTCCATGTAAGAAAATTAATTACTTAATGTTTCACAAGAATATGCTGTTTTAGTGCAATATCAAAAGAGCAAGGAGAAATTCACCAGCCAACAGCAAGGGGGTTAAAAGTTAAGCCATACTTACAGACTGGAATCTTCAGATCTAACTAATGTCTTCCTTTCCTGAAAGTACTTTTAAAATTACAGAATGCTATGCAAATGCATGATGTGATTGCTATTATTAGAACTGAAATTTTCCCAAAGTGTGTTGAAAGCCCATCTTGTCTTAAGCCATGCGTCTTTTCATTTGACCATCACATAATTAAAGTGTGGCAGGAGAGCATAGAACCATATTTCAGAGACTGCTGATCCAAAAACTATAGGATAACCCGGCTACTTGGAAGGCTGAGGTAGGACTATCAATTGATCCCAGGAGCTCAAGTCCAGCCTGGGCAACACAGTGAGACTCTGTCTCTAAAAATACAAACAAAAACCCCCCAAACTATGGGATGGATGGTGAAGATGGTGATGTTAGTCAAATGAAAATGTAGAAAGACACCATATTTATTTACCTCATGGACCTGTTATTGGGGGAGAAGGAGAGTCTATAAAACAGAAAGATACATGTTGTTATCACTGCTTCTCACCATTCTAATTGTAGAGGGGAAACGCCATGATGAAATCAATACATTATTTGAAAACATTGTATTGCTTCTTGTATACATCTAAGCTACCTGACATCAACTGTGAGTAGAAACTGGCAACATGCCAACTAAATGATTTTTACTGTTCACAATAGAGCATTTGTTTAGTGATTTACCTTCAGGGAAAAATGAGGAAATGAGTTAGGAAAAAAATTCATAAAACTTGAAGACTAGTGTCTAAAGTGATTGATCCAAAATTAATTTCACATGTCTGAGGGTACAAGTTTCTGAAGGAAAGGGGAGTGGAAGGAGAAAATGAGACAGATGAAGTAAGACAAGGCCATTTAGAGTTTGTGGGGGGGGAAGTCATATTCAATATCTCTTCTTTCATTCAGCAGGAGTATTAAAGTGCCTAAGATAAGAAAATTTCCAAGCTTTAGGCTTGAGAAAGGGCAAACCCAACTTGTCTCTGAGGATGAGCTGAATGCATCACTCAAGGGTAAACTCCCACGGACCTCACCGCATGCTTTGTGTGGAGGCTGTCCACAGGTGTCCTCGGGAAGACAGGAAAAGTGCTTCCACATGCTCGCTTTCTGGCAAGATTCCAGTTGCTCTCCGCCCTCCGTCTCCACCACAGACTCAGGCTCCTTTTCCTCTCAGGCTTCCATCATCCAAGTTCCAAATCATGGGTAACAAATGGAGATTGAGTGGAGACAATAAACGTGGTTGTCATAGTTGAGGGAATTATTTTTAAAGTCTTCACCACCATAGGGTTTTTCTACAAAGTGTGGTAAAGCCAGCCTGGCAATGTTTGTCCCTTTTAAATACAGTTTCCTCAGGAAGTGTTCTATCTAGATTTTGTCTGTTAGGTGAGAGATTTCTGTGGATTAGGGACATGTAATGACCCTCTGGAGTCTTTCAAGATGGAGGCCATAAACTCCTGCCAAACTTTGGTCTTTATTGTTTTGATGAGAGAGGCAAGCTAGACAGTATATTCCCATGGCAACTTTGGAACATCACCTGTAATATAACTTAAAGGACAGAGGTGGTTGTGCTAGGAGCCTCAGCTGGACTGGATATCCAACTAGAAGGGTAATATTATGGGCTTGTGTTCTATTCTCTCCTTGCTCAGTTCATTAGGAACAAACCTTAGTGTTAGTCTGGGCTTTCCGCTCTTCATAAAAAAAAAAAATTTCTCACAGATTCAGACTCCTATCAAACTAGAAGTATGGCTAGCTGATTTCAATATTTGATGACTCTTATTTTAGAGAAATGAATAGTTCAGTGCCTTTTTGCTACTTTCTTTTCCATGACTGTACGTATGCTTTTGTTCTTTACTCTGATATGGATAGCAAAGATGTAACAACACATGATTTAAATCATTAAAAGTGTCACAGTTCTGCTTTTTCCTAAGAACTGTGGTCAACTTTTGTTCTGTAAAATGCTGCCAGAGGAGGATATATCATGCAAATTATTGGGACAGAGGATGGGCATAAATCTCCTTTCAAAAGAGGATTAAAAAAAAAAAAGAAGATGAAACATGGATGTGGATAAATCAGAAATGCAGCTGTTTGGGACTGAAGTCCAGTTATGACTGTAAGCCAGGCCCAAAAGACATGGTGATCTTTAAAAGGCAACCCAAGGTGTTGACAGAAGTCCCCAGAAAACTCTTTGACACTCAGGCCCTTTGGCTTTTACCCTCACCATAACACTATATCCTTTTCTGTTTTTAATACACATAAATATATTTTCTCATCCAACTTCAGGAACCGTACCTGTTTTCAGCATTAAATTTGACTTTGATCATTTTGATCTTACCACCCAAAGAGCATTAACTTAGAAATCAGGTGTTTTGGACCAAATCTGAATAACCAATATTGAATAATTTACATATTTTCCATCCATGTGAAAATGGAGATTGGGTATTAGAAGCCCTATACATTGGTTTAAATTAAACTGAATTTGAAAGGACATTTTTTTTTACAGCAGTTTATTGTTTTCAATTGAGAACCTAAAATGGAAAAAATAACTTCTGATGTTAAGCTGTGGTTTCCACCTTCTATGACCTTCATTTACAGTCAGTTGTTTTCATATGATCTTCAGATCTTCACTCCAACTCTGAGGTACTGTGGGGTGTATGCACTTGGGAACTGACAGGAACTCTGGAACTATAAAAGCAGCTACTCAACTGATTATGGATATTTTAAGGTAAAGTCATTCACTAAGCTGAAGTTTGAGAGGAATCCTCATTGTTTTATTCCAAAAGACCCGAAAGATTACATAACAAATGTAAATTTTACCTCTAGCACTTTGAAACTCACAAAAAAAATTAAAGCTTTTATTGAAAGTAATTGTATACACCAAGGAGAGAAATCTGTTTATAGAAGTTTAATTTAAACCAATGCATTACTCTCCAAGGGCCTTTGTTCTAACATACTTATTATATATCAGATTCATTTAACCCCTGGAGGCTTCAATTCCTTTATCTAAAAATGAGACTGGTATACATAGTGTCTAAAAATACCTTCCTGGTCAAAGAGTCTAATTTGTTATTACCCCAAATAGCAAACAATAAATTTCCATTTTGATTGGTTTTATGGCATAAAATCAATAGTCTTGTTAAGGTCCTTTGTATTGTTGTGAAAAAATAAACCAAAAATATGACACTCACATTGTTCTATAGTGTGTATACTCTGAGTTGATTCTATTTACAGAATTAAAATATAAATGATTTCAGATATTAAACCAAAGTTCCAAAGACCTAAGAGTGACTCCTGGTACAATCTAAAATATAACTGAATGCTTAATTTCCTGAAAAGGAGTAATTAGGCCTTTAGAGAAGCTGTCTTATTGTGTACTTCATTGTGCTGTAAAAACATTGGCATTAAGAGGAAATATTTCACTCTTAAGAAAATTTTCTCCATTTTACAAAGATGCTAGGATTCTAGAAAGTCAAGGATAGCCAAAGACCCAAAATAATAGTTATTTTAAAAATATTTAAATTACAAATGTCAAACATAAGAATCAGGCAAAATTTAAGCAGTATAAAGCTATGTACATGAAGAAAAGGAAGAGGCAACTCCTATTATTAGGCTGTGACTTCCAAAAATGACAGTCATTTTCAGAAAATTTGGTGCATATTTTTCTAATATTTATCCTCTCTATACACATAATAACTGATATTATACAAAGCATAATATTTTGTTACTGGATGAAGCCAACAAGTATTCTTATTGGTAATAATATGTCTAATAGGGAAAAACTAAGAATACATCACATGGTCTTCTATATCTACTATAATGAAGAGAAAGAAGAAAAAATGTCATAAATTCAACGGGCTCTCATAGTCTCCTGCTTTTAAAATTGTGAATATTAAAAAGAGTGTGTAATATAAGCAATAAGCATATATGGACAGTTTATTGCTGAAATAAGTATTTTACAATTATTGTATAATATCATAACATTATCATTGTTGTGGTGTATAATTAACTGTAATGGAAGCAATTCAAATGTGATTTT